CACGCAGATGCTTTAATGTCCATGCTATTGCCAAATTTATTCAAATGTAATTTTAATAAAGGAGTTATTTATACATTTTTTTTAAATTATTAAATTACCAAATTTATTAAAGGAGTGTCTGCTGTTCTCAGAGTAATGGCCTTCTTATCATGACTATAGGTTGTGTATTAGCAGGGACAGAATTATAGTAAGATGCTTTATTTAAAAAAAAAAAATCCAACAAATTGTTAAATAAAAATAGCCAAATGCCTAAAAAGTATGGAAACTAGTGAGCTAAAACTTTGAAACATAGTCATTGGCTGAACTGAAGGCCACACATGACAGGGCGGTAAAAAAAAAAGTGTACCCTTCATTCATGGGTCAATTCAGGTTGTTGAAGACACCTGTGATATGTTCAGAATGACATGAGAGAATCTGAAATGAACATTTCATAAGCTGTCCGTAGGCATATTACACCCAACTCTAGCTCTCAAACACCCACGCAATCTTCTGTTCCTGCAGATGTGGGGCCTCTGATCACAAAATGAGGCAACTTAACTGGTTCTGTGTGTTGTATGAAGGCGAGCCCAGACTGGAATCACATTTATTATTACAGTGGATGTTCTAAAGTCTAGAATAATAACGGAACAAGAATGTCTCAAGCTTTAGGTATGTACAGTATGTTTGTAAATCGACTTCTAGGAACAGCCTAATTACCTCCAATACAAAACAGTTGAGGAATGTGCTTCTAAGAAAAGTACTAAACGCCCCCTTTAAACAAGTCTGATCAAGCGTGTGGCTGTATGCATGTGTTTAATGGTCTGGCTGGATTCAAGGATGTATCCAAACACTCAACAATTGCTCTAACACTAATCTGACAATTGTGCTGAATTGTGCTCAATGTCCCTGGTGGTTGTATAAACCCAGCTGGAATCTCACACTTCTGTTACACTAATTGAAAAGAGGACTTACTCATGGTAGACTTATTTAAGAATCGCTGGGTAAATACCTATTTTCTTTATGAATTCAACTCAGTAGAAGATTTATTCAACTGTTCGTGACCTCTATTGTTTATGATCTTATATTATATAAAATATTAATTAATATTTTCTGCCCCTAATCTATCTCTATCTATCTATCTGTCTGTCTGTCTGTCCGTCCGTCCGTCTTCAAGGATGTATCCAAACACTCAACAATTGCTCTAACACTAATCTGACAATTGTGCTGAATTGTGCTCAATGTCCCTGGTGGTTGTATAAACCCAGCTGGAATCTCACACTTCTGTTACACTAATTGAAAAGAGGACTTACTCATGGTAGACTTATTTAAGAATCGCTGGGTAAATACCTATTTTCTTTATGAATTCAACTCAGTAGAAGATTTATTCAACTGTTCGTGACCTCTATTGTTTATGATCTTATATTATATAAAATATTAATTAATATTTTCTGCCCCTAATCTATCTCTATCCGTCCGTCCGTCTGTCTGTCCGTCCGTCCGTCCGTCCGTCCGTCCGTCCGTCCGTCCGTCCGTCCGTCCATCTATCTATCTTGTCTATCTGTCTTTCTGTCTGTTTGTCCAGGTATGACACATGCAGGCAAATAAGCACATGGACTTGTGAAGATCAGTAATGCAGTAACTTTTCAACCCAATTTGATTTGGTACACTCTCTATTTCTCCATTTGACTGATTGTTATTTATTACTCTGATAACAAAAGTGTCTTTGAAAGAAAAATAAAATTTACAATATGATATGACACATCAAGACTTAACACTCCCAGGTATAGGTGTGCATATACTTGCTGAAACAGTATTACTATTATGTAATAACGTTAGCAAGCTGGAACAGAGCAGACACACACGAGCATACAGACATTCACGGTATTTTTGTAATTCCTTTCACAGACATCCACAAAACCACAAAGAAACAAATTGCAAACCTGCAGAACCCCGAACAGAACAAACACAATGCCAGGCCCACACAACAAGATAAAATAATGCTGCAAAATTCATAATGTCATCAATTTTGCAATGTCGATCCCTTATAAAGAATGTTTCTCAATCACCTGTGACAGTGCTTTCCATAACGATGTGTAACAGAAGTTTAAATTCTCACATTCAGTCACACACCCTGGCTGAGCATTCAAACCTGTGGTGTCTTGTACGTCTTTTTTTACTTCCATTAAATTCCATCTCTTATTAGCAATGTGTTTTGTCAGGCTCGATATGAGGGATCATGGGCAAATAGTACACTAACACAATAAAACCATTTTAACCAAACAAGCATTGCCAAATAAATTCAAAATGTTTAATGCAATAAGTAAAGAACAATAAAAATCTAGTTAAAATAACCAAGGCATGTTTTCACATCTTTTCACTAACTGAACAAAAAGTAACCTGATTATTTTTATATAACAATAAACAGAAATAATGACCTCCATATATTTTACTGAAACATTATAATGTATGAATGCCACATGGAGAATTTGGAGAATATGGAGAATTTTTCTGTGATGCTGCAAATGAATCTTGTTTTGAACTGATTTAGTTAAATGGATTGTTTGCAAAATTATTGTGAATATTTAGTGTCACATAGCTTGTTCTTCACACATTTCACTACTATATCTTATATTTCTACTTCCTTTTCAAATTATGATGTGCCAAAACAACTTTGTAGAACTTAAAATCACACTTAATTTGTGTGTTGGTTTGTGTAATGCAATTTGTGTGAATTTGTTTTGCTATTTTAGGCTTAGGCTTACTGGTTATTGGGTTTCACTTTTTTTTTTTTTTTCAGTGTATCATTTATGTCTGTATGATTTTGCATTTTATTTGTATCTATTTGTTTTTGTTGTGCATTTGTTGATGTCTTCCCGTTACTATTCAGTAATTTCCATGAATTACCATGAAAACAATCTCTGTGATTTTGAGTATGTTGCAAAATACTATCTTTGACAAAATGAAAGAGAGCATGTGTGCTAGCCTGTGTTTAATCACAGAAAATATGAGTCACCAGTGTACACATTCCCCTCTCTGTGTGTACGTGCATGTTGGTGCGTGTGTGTGTGTGTGTGTGTGTGTGTGTGTGTGTGTGTGTGTGTGTGTGAGTGAGTGTGTGTGTGTGCATGTTTATGTGGTTTATGAGGACACAAATTTGTATAATAACATGGGTATGACATAGGTATTACAACGAGAAGGTGATTTATGAGGACATTTTCAGTGTCCCCGTCATTCAAAAGGCTTATGAATAATTCAGAATGAGTTTTTTTGAAAATCTAAAAATGCAGAAAGTTTCCTGTAAGGGGTAGGTTTAGGGGTAGGGTTGGTGTAGGGCAATAGAAAATACGGTTTGTACAGTATAAAATCCATTACGCCTATGGAGAGTCCCCATAAACCATAAAAACAAACCTGTGTGTGTGTGTGTGAGTGAGTGTGTGTGTGTGCATGTTTATGTGGTTTATGAGGACACAAATTTGTATAATAACATGGGTATGACATAGGTATTACAACGAGAAGGTGATTTATGAGGACATTTTCAGTGTCCCCGTCATTCAAAAGGCTTATGAATAATTCAGAATGAGTTTTTTTGAAAATCTAAAAATGCAGAAAGTTTCCTGTAAGGGGTAGGTTTAGGGGTAGGGTTGGTGTAGGGCAATAGAAAATACGGTTTGTACAGTATAAAATCCATTACGCCTATGGAGAGTCCCCATAAACCATAAAAACAAACCTGTGTGTGTGTGTGTGTGTGTGTGTGTGAGTGAGTGCGTGTGTGTGCATTATCCATTCACACAGCCTTGATAAGGGGGAAAGCTTATGACTGTAAACAGACTGACATGCCTCGGTGTTATGAGGTAAAAAATGTATGGTTTGAAGATAACAGAGTATGTGTTCATGCTTCCAGGTATTTACACTGAATAATCCTTACCACCGTGTTTCTTATCCAAGGCTTTTATGGGTGTGGAAAGCACAATAACACACACAGACATCACAAATTGATTCAGATCTGATTCACCTCAAATGTCCTCCATGCATTTATTCAGTTGTTACTGATTATTGTTTAGTTTCCCACTGTTGCTCTGATGATGAACAGTAGCCGAACATTACACTGAGGTAGGTTTTGAGGTAGGTTGGTTTATCCAGTTTGCAAGACTCATCAGGAATCATTGGAATTAGTGTCTCAATGATCCCGTTCATTTGAGGGTGATTATCCGTGAATAATCTCTTCCTCTCACAAAGGTAATATGTAAAGGAGTAGATAATTTCCAGAATGAAAATTCTGTCATCATTTACTCACCCTCCACTTGTTCCAAACCTGTATGAGTTTCTTTCTTCTGTTGAACACAAAAGAAGATGTTTTGGAAAAATGTTAGCATCCGAACAGTTGATGGGCACCATTGACTTCCATAGTATTTTTTTTTCCTAGTATGGAAGTCAATGGTGCCCATCAACTGTTCAACAGAAGAAAGAAACTCATACGGTTTTGGAACTACTCTTTACGATTTAAAATTAATTTATGTTTGTTATTTTATTATGGTTATGGTTATTATTTTATTACATTATTTTATGTTGCATGCTAGCAAAGCCATACTTAAGTTGTTATTTTTATATTATTTTATGTATGGTATAGTGTGTGTGTGTGTGTGTGTGTGTATATACATAATACATAGCCTACATATATCCATCGCAAAGCCATACTTAAGTTGTTATTTTTATATTATTTTATGTATGGTATAGTGTGTGTGTGTGTGTGTGTGTATATACATAATACATAGCCTACATATATCCATGGTCTAAAAAATATGTGCAAGTACCACAACTACTTCCTCATTTTGCAATGAAGGGGGTATGTTTATATACCTCCCCAGAAATAGCGCCAAGTACAATCCACCAATCACCACACAGGGAGACACACCGATAACCAATCCCCAACCAGAACGGCAAACGGACGCACCCATTGGGTGGAGTTGAGCCGGTGGGCTTGGCACTAGCCGGTCGCTTCTGATTTGTCCGCTGGTGACGACGCTTAACGTGTTTCGCTTGTTTTGAAATTGGAAGTGTGCAGCGCTTCTGTGCGTCCGCTAAAGACAAACTGTTGCCTTACGTCCGCGCATGAAGACACGGCGGGAAATAGCCTTTTCAAACTGGGTTTGACAACTTTTCGCGTGGGAGGAATATGGATGTTATTCCCATGTGTAGTATTTTCCAGGAGCTACAGAGTGTCCTTGACACGGGATACCTGTCCGCAGTACCGTCTCTAGAGGAGTATTGGCAACAGGTAATATAAACCACCAGTTTTATTCATTAAATAAATACTTTGATCAAACTTATGAGTAATAAAACAAGCGTTGAAGGATTAATTTGTATATAAGATTTCCCAAGCTTATGTTCAAAGCAAATATATTATGCTCTTATGCTCACCAAGGCTATATTTGTTTATATATGTAACGTTAACGTTTTATAGAGAGAGAGAGAGGAGTGTCAGACGTTTTACTAATTTCTCCAGGTAGGCTTGCTTATTTATTTATTTTACTAATTTTACATATAGATATATTACTTAAGGTTTTGGTTACAAAAATGTGACATGGTGTCATTATATGTCATAAGGTGTGACAGAAGAATCTGCCATAGGCTTGTCTGTTATATTTTCAATATGAAGATCACACAAAAATGGTAATTCTGCCATCATTTACACACGCTCATGTCATTAAAAAAAACCTGATTTACTTTCTTCTGTGCCACACTGAAGTAGCTTCGCTGAATCTCTGAGCTGCTCTTTTCCTCCAAAACACTGTACAGTACCAAAAATCACTATAAAGTCTCATGTGAGGAACATACAGAAATTTAAGCAATTATTCAGTGATATTTTAATATGGATTACTTTGTCATTCTCGGAGCTCAGCAGAGTCCATTTCCATTTACTTTAATAGTTTAGAAAAGAGCACCACTACTAAACCTCACATTTAGTGTTCCAGAAAAGAAAGTCATATATGAATGACATGAAGGTGAATAAATAATGACATAATTTTTTATTTCATCTGATTTCAATTTCATTCAGAATATTTCATGCAAGATAAACTATTTAGATTCATAGAGTGCATGTTTTCTGGTTGGTGTTTGTCACTGATTGCCCTTGATTCTCTCTTATAGACTTGTCTTGAGCTTGAGCGCTATCTACAAAATGAGCCCTATGTCTCTGCAGCTGATCTGAGATCAGTATGTGAGTCTGACAATCTGTGGAACCAGTTTCTGCGCTGCTGTGAGACTGAACCGAACTCGTCCCCGCCGGAAGCTTCCATCCCCAAGCAGGACGGGATCGCTACGGCTTCCCATTCACTATTCAGCAGCTGTAAGAAGATCATTGCATCTGCTAAAGTGCTCACACACACACTGGATCACAGCGTATCTGAGCAGCAGCATGTAATCACACACACGCCCCCGACGCCGCCCTCCTCACCCTCACTCCCTCTCATGGAGGTTAAAGAAGATGCAGAAGGGGCGAGAGGGGATGAGGTCAAAGGTGAGGGGTCACCTGAAGGACGAAGGAGAGCTCATCGCTGTTACTTCAACGGCTGCAGGAAGTTGTACACCAAGAGCTCTCACCTGAAAGCACATCAACGCACACACACCGGTAAGCATTTTCTGTGTGAGCGTCTATAGTTCTACCTGTATTTTGTTTTACTGTTGCCACAACAGTTTTCTCAGCTTTGGGAAACAAAACTTCTCCCATTTGGATCATGCTGAAAGTCTCTCCGGCAAATCTGCCCTACAAAGCATATTTTTTAAAACCACTCTTAAAGCCTTCACAGAATCATAAAAGCATGAACTGATAGTGCGTAAATGTTTCCTCTTCACAGTTTCAGTGCATTAGTGTTATTAATATTATTTATAAACTAACATTCATATTTTAGCTTTTTTAACCCCATAAACCTATTGTATCATATTTTTAATACCTAATATAATATAAAATAACTCGTATATCATATGTTTGCAAATTTCAAAGACCTCTAAATGATCAACATGATCAAAACGTTGCTGAAAACCTGTTGTACACAACCTACTACATGCCTTCTGTCGTCTAAAAAACAACTGCTCCAATTTTTTTTACGTTTTTGCATAAAAAAGGATTTTTTTTTGTCATCCTCAAGAATGAGCTCCATATTGTATTATGTATCATGTAGCTCCATATTGTATCATGTATTATGTTATATATATATATATATATATATATATATATAATTTACCTAAATAAGAGGGATCGTACAAAATGCATGTTATTTTTATGAATAAGATGTTTCACATAAACAACAAGAGAAAATAATAGTTGAATTTATAAAAATGACACTTAAACAAAGTAGTTTCGCTTTCACAATGAAACACACGGCGGCCTAGCATGAGCGGAAGCCACTGCCTAGCGTGAGCTGAGGCCGGGCTACAGTGAGCAGAGGTGCGGGCTTGAGAACGGCGCGGTAGGCGGATTCGACGAAGGAGCGGCAACCACATGTGATGACCCCAGACTGGACTCCGCTTCGTCCACGGTGAAAGCCGATCCGGCGATCTACAGCACTAAGTCGATGTATTTCCTCAGCGACCAGCACAGATCAGCTCTAGGCATGGCGAAGCGGATATCGTCCTCTTTTGGAAGACCAAACAAAGTAGTTTCGCTTTCACAACGAAACACACAGCTCTTCACGACATGGAGACAGCAACAATACTACAGCGAGAATAAAAGTTACGCCTTCGGCGTATTTCCCATTTCTTTAAATGTATTTGTCTTACTATTGTTTCATATGTTAGGCTTTACATGGTTAAAGCCTTCACAAAATGTTAACAGACTAAGTATTGGCAGAACTAAAACAATTGCCATGAAATGCATTAACTGATTAAATGTGTATTTTGAATGTTGTGTAAGTTGCTTAAAAGTGTTTGCCAAATGTAAAGGTTTCTGTGCGTGCACAGTATGCAGATTATTCCATATAGAGGTACTGTTGCATCACATTGAATATTTAGCATGCAGAGGTGACCTCCTCCTCTGGAGGCGAATGTTTGAAGAGTGTGTGTAAAAGCAGTTTGGTGACTCTATACATTCCTGAAATGCTCATTCTTCATGAGACTGTCATACACTCTAGGAACATAGATTACCAAACTTGTGTGCATTAACCCTGTTCCCACACTGTTCATCTTGCATGCAATCTAAAGAATGTTTGCAAAATGACTTTACTAAGAATGAATAAAGATCTTAAAGGAACCCAGATCACATCGGAGAGCACCATGAAGACGTGGGCTTGCGGGTAAACGTGCTCTAACAAGTTGCACGTGGCGATTATGTACCGGGTGACCCAAGGTTGATCTCTTTTTCTCACAATGCTTTCGTCACCTTTTAGATGTTTTCTAAATTTGAAGAGTCAAAAACCTACTAAATTAAACCCAACAAAAATCTGACGCCATAAATTTGTGCGAGGATCCCAGTGGCATGCAATTTCTATGTCCACACCAAATATAAAAACTGTTGCACAATGAGGCAAATCAAACACAAATTAAACTCTGAAACTTGATGGATTTGTCATTTAAATATCCAATGTTTCCCAACTTCCACAACCAATCTCTCCTCATCCATATTTTGATGATCAATATACATGAGGATCAGTGCTTGAATCCAATCAGATTTCATTGTTTGCAAAGCAACCCAGAACAACATCACAGAATTATGTAGAAAATCTAATTCAATCCAAATTCGATTCTGATTCTGGCTGTCATGATTCCAGAAATGATTCTTAAGTCACTTTTTTTATTATTATTAACTTATTTTAAACTTTGAATTTATACTATTTTAAATATTTTAATTAAATAAAAGAACTTTAAAAAATAAATAAAAATAGTTAATAAATTTAAACTATTTCATGTTAAGTAATTTTCAAATATACTAAACATAGCTTTAAAACAAGCAAATAGCAATGCAGAAGAGCAAAGAAAGAAAAAGAGTTATGTTATGCGGAAAATAAGACCTTCTCAATGTAAGACGTAAGGAGTGAGTACAGTTGTGTGTTTGTTGGCTCCCTGCAGGAGAGAAGCCGTACAGGTGTTCGTGGGACGGCTGTGAGTGGCGTTTCGCTCGAAGTGATGAACTGACGAGGCACTTCAGAAAACACACTGGAGCCAAACCCTTCAAATGCAGCCACTGTGACAGGTGAGCGTGTGTGTGATCAGACAGTGTTTCAAACAGATTTTGAGCTATACATAATCATTTTTGTTTTATCGTTTCAGGTGTTTTTCTCGTTCTGATCATCTGGCACTGCACATGAAGCGACACATCTGAATGTAAATCCCAAAGACCTGCACAGAATCCCAAAGACCTGCACAGCTGGTTTTCTATGTATCCACTGAGTGTCAGTATTGCAGATTTTGCACCCTCTTGGTAAATGTATGCTTTCTGCTGAACATGGGTAATGTGCATGCTTGTTCAATTCAAGTTATAGCATAGCTATAAAGGCATTGAAAATGCAAAAAGTCTGGTGCTGAATGCAAGTTAACATATTTGCTGGCTTTGCCAATTGCTGTGAATATATACTGTATGTCATAATCATTTAAAATCATATTTTGCAACAAAGCTAACTAACACTTTGCATTAACACACTGAAAACACTCTGCGCAGCTATTGTGTTTATATCTAGAGCAGCTATGTGTCCATATAGTTTTATAAGAAGGCATATTTTTGACAAATAAAAGTGTTAATTGCTGTTAATTACACTCAAATAAAAAATAAAAAAAATAAACTCACTGGGACAGTACCCCTTCATAAGGTACTAATATGTACATTTAAGGTACTAATATGTAGCATTTAGGGGTATATAAGGTACAAATGACCAGCTTAATCCAGCAGTTACAGGTACATTAGTCGTGCTGATATCACTTGTACTTGTAAAAAAAAAAAAATAACTTTTTAACCACTAAATTTAGCATTAGTGCCTTAAAACCATTCTCTTAAACTTAATAATGAGTAATTTATTCCCCCTTGGTCCGTTCGCAGTGGGGCCGCACCAGTTGCACCCCGCTAAGGACGGCCCTGGCTATAATTTTATGATTTTGAAAAATGCATCAGGATATTTTTACTGGTTTTCTGGTTACTGAGAGTAGAGTTTGACATCATGTTGGCTCAGATGAAGCTCTTGCATTTGTTGTCCAGATGTTTAAAGCCCTGCAGATGTTAAAGAGATGAGGATGTTCACTCAGGGATTGATAATATGAAAGCTGGTAATGTCTAACTGGAATTTGCAGTATCTTTAGGGGAATTTTAAAATGTACTCCAATATTATAAAGTGCATATAATCATGAAATAAAGTGCATGATCATTTGTAACCGTTCAAATATTTTTGTCTAAAGGGACTGATGTAAATGTTTTTGTTTTACTTTTTTTTTTAATTAAAAATGGTGTTTTTGTTTGTGTTTGCTCTTTATTGTTATTTTCTGTTTTAAAAGCAGATCTCTATAAAGCAACAATATATTGTAAGATTTTTATTATCTTTGTAAATACATTTTATACCACAATAATAATGATTTTTTATAAAACTCTGTTTTGTGGTTTCTTTATTATACAATGTGCAAAACACTACACATTAAATTCTCATTTTACAGGCCTGACTGCTGAACTTTACGCATTAGAGATTAAGGTGGGATCCTGTATCAGAAAAAAGACTGTAAACTGTAGATAGACTCTTCTGGAACATTGTGTGGACAAAAATATAATGTGCTGTGTTCAATGTTACAACAAATGTTCAGTACTTCAAGTTCATGGGAGTGTTTAACAGACTTTTACCTCTACATGAACTTAAAACAGACATCAGTGAGATGAGCGACATGTTCTGCAGACCCACCCTCACACACAAAAACACTGAGAAAGAAACTAAACAAACCCACATGAAAAAAAACTGAAATTAAATTAACAGAAATGAAAAATGACTAAAACAAATTCTGGCTTAAATAAATAGTAGATTTCAGTCCTATAAAAAAAAGAACAAATAATGTTATAAGTTATAAAAGTAAGCTATAAAATAAAAAATTCGAATTTATTAATCTGCAGAAAATGCTAAATTCATCACATATCTGCAATAATGAAATAATATGAAAACATAACATGCACTTTGTCTTCCATATGTGATGTATAGGTTGGGTAACACATTAGATTAGGTAACACTATTTACTATTAACTCTCAGTTAATAGTGAATATGTGTTCCCTAATCTAAAGTGTTACCCTAAATTGTCATAAAATAACTACATTTTTGTAGATTCTAAATTATTAATTAGCAGAAAACGCTAAATGCACCACAAATCTGCAATAATTAAATAATATAAAAACATTAGACATGTTAAATGGACTTAGTCTTCCAATGTGTAATAAAGAAGTTAAAAATATATGATTTTACAGTGGTAACAATGACTGTACTAACAATGAAATTTGGGAATAAATCATGGTAAATCCTAATAAGGACTAACTCCCTCCAGAAATCACTTTATCGTTTTAAAACTTTTTAAAAGATATTTAACCCTAATGAGTAACTCCCTATATTTCCAAAGAGTAAACGTTTATTTAGGAGCTCCTTCCATTTCTAAGTACTTGACCCTTGTGTTTATTAAGTGACCTCTGTTTCTACTGACACCTGCCGGTCATTATAAGAAGTGTTCGGTAAAGTGATTCTAAAAATTCTAAAAATACTTAGTTCTAAAAATCTGTATATTTTTCCAATCCATATTTTTATAGTATCAAATTTACCTTTTTTTTATTTATTAGACATACTTTTATTATGTACAAGCGGTGGTCGGTATGAATCAATCGACTGCGCTCTTCTTATCTTGCAGCCAATGAAAAGCAGCGTTGTTCGCGGTTGAGGTCGCGTCTAGTGCGCATGCGCCGTGTACAGCATGGGACATGGAAGGGCAGAGCTTTAATCATAACGGAAACATGATAGCAACTCACATATAATGTGTTTTAACTTTTTAATTGGTGCGGCATTCACAGTAATTATTAGAGACAGTAGAATTAAGCGTCTAAAATGTTTCGACATTGCAAGGTATTCATTACGAAACTCAAAAATTTGAGGTGAGTAGTAATACTACACTGAATCAAACTTCAGTCTTTCCGTGTCAAATATATGCGTGGTCCTTTTTAGGCTGTTGTTTGTATTTTAATTGTGATTACTGTATCATTCAGGTCGTTGTTATTATTGTCATCACGTTTAAAGATATAAGTTTGAGTTGTTCTGAAATGTACGATGTACTGTAATCCTCTGGGAAAAGCTCAGTCGTGCTGATTAGTGTGATCTGTAAGTCTGATGAACGAGGGGTTTGTAGTTTCCAGGGTTCATGGAGGTCGAGAGGCAGCTCCGCCGGAGAAAGAGCACTGCAGTACACCGTGGGACAGAAGATCCACGGGTTCACTGTTAAAGAGGTAAAGAAATCCTGAAAATACACATTTTGCCTGTTTTGTCTCTATTTCGTCTTGGAGTGAAGCAGGGGTTCACCTTCCAGTTTGAGAGTTTCTATAAAACCAAGATAAATTCATTGTATTGTAATGCACAACCTCTAGTGGTTTGATTGAATTAAAGGGGTCATATGATGCGATTTCAAGTTTTCCTTTCTCTTTGGAGTGTTACAAGCTGATTATGCATAGATAAGATCCCTGAAGTTGCAAAGACTAAAGTCTCAAAACCAAAGAGATATTCTTTATCAAAGTTAAGACTCTGCCACGCCCCCCTAAAACGGCTCGTTCTAACACGCCCCCACATATCTACCTCACTATGTGGAAATATTTGCATAATGCGCCCATATGTGCACACAAAGAAAGAAGGCGTGGTTTCAGTAACCGCAGTTAGTGTTGAAGCAGCATGTCAGGGAGACGCTGTGTGTTTCTAGGTGAAAGCAAAAGCACTTTATTTGGCCTTCCGAAAGTAGATGCATTTAGGAATCTTTAAGATTACTTACAACAGAACAGCAATGCATTTTATGGACGACCGTTTCGTGAACCTAGGAGAGGAGGTAATTCTGACTTTGCTATGACAATCTGGCGCTTCTGAATAAGCTACTGTTTTGTTATTAGTTTAAGTATTTGCTAATGACTGTTCAAGTGCGGAGTTTTGCGCATCATGTGTGTGTGCGTGTGTGTG